ATTTCTTCTCTGACCCATTGTTCGTTTAATAGCATATTGTTCAATTTCCAAGAGTGCCTATACTTCCTGGGGAGTTTTGAGTTGTTGATTACCAGTTTCATCCCATGGTGGTCTGAGAGGGTACATGGTATGATACTAATGTTTTGGAAGTTGTTTAGATTCGCTTTATGTCCTATCATGTGGTCGATTCTGGAGAAGGTGCCGTGCACCGCTGAGAAGAATGTATAGTCTGTGGCCTTAGGATAAAAAGTTCTATATATGTCTACTAAGTCCAGTTGTTCTATTGTTTGTGTGAGCTCTGTTGTTTCTTTGTTGAGTTTTTGTTTCGTAGACCGGTCCATTGTTGTTAGAGGTGTGTTGAGATCGCCTACAAGAATTGTGCGGGTGTCTATGTCTTCCCTTAAGTCTGTAAGTAATTGCTTTACGTAAGTAGGTGCATTAAGATTCGGTGCATAAACATTAATGATGGTGATTGCTTCTTGATGGATCATTCCTTTCACCAGTATAAAATGGCCTTCCCTGTCTCTTTTGATGTTAGTTAGAATGAAATCTATCTCGTCTGAAATTAGGATAGCTACCCCAGCTTTTTTTTCTCGTCTATTGGCGTGGAATATCTTTTTCCATCCCTTCACTTTCAGTTTCTTTGCATCCTTTCTGGTTAGATGCGTTTCTTGTAGGCAACAGATGGTTGGGTCTTGTTTGATGATCCATTCTATTAATCTCTGTCGTTTGATTGGTGAATTTAGACCATTTGTGTTGAGAGTTAAAATTGAGAGGTTGCAATTTTGCCCTGCCATGTGATTGTGTTGTGTGTGTGTTGTTGCCTATGTAATTGTCTTGTTTGTGCGGCCTTTAGTTTGGAGACCTTCTTATTTGCCAACTTTGTTTGTGATTTGCCTCCTTTTTGTCCGGGACTAGCGCATTTCTAAGGAGACTTTGCAGAGCTGGTTTTGTGTAGACATATTCTTCTAGTTTTTCTTTGCTATTGAAGTATCTGATTTCATTCTCATATACAAATGAGATCTTTGCTGGGTAGATTATTTTTGGTTGACAGTTGTTTTGTTTCAGGACTTGGAAGATCTTTGTCCATTCTCTCCTTGCTTGTAGGGTCTCTTCGGAGAAGTCAGCAGTGATTCTGATGGGTTTTCCCCTGTATGTGATCTTTTCTCTACTTCGTACTTGTCTCAGGATTCCTTCTTTGTCTTCATTGGAGTAGAACTTGAGCACCGTGTGTCTGGGTGAAGATCTCTTTGGATCATGTCTGTTGGGAGTTCTCTGTCCATCCTGTATGCGGGGTGGATTCGTGTTCCAAGTGTTTTGGAAGTTTTCCTGTATAATTTCATCGAGCACTGCTTGCATCCCAGATTCTCTTTCTACTCCCTCGGGGAGGCCGATGATCCGAATATTCAATTTTCTAAGGTAATCCTTCATCTCTTGCATCATTTTATTAGTTTTGCTGAGGTTTGTCTCCAGCTGTTTGATTCGCTGGGCACTTTCATTTTGTGTGTCTTCTGTTTCAGAGATCCTTTCCTCTGCCGCATTTATTCTGTTGATGAGGCTTTCAATCTTATTATCTTGGGCGTCCAGTTTGGTTTTGATTTGTTGTATTTCGGTGATTATGCGGTTCTGGTAGTCTTCCAGCTTTGTGTCCACGTCTCTGAGAAATTTTAGCATTATTTTCATCAATTCCTTTGCTGGTAACACTTCCATGTCTTCATCTCGTATCGTCGATATTGATAATGGCTTTTGGCCCTTGTTTGGTGGGGTGCTGGCTCTTTCATCTGGAGCACAACTCTTTCTGGTGGTTTTTCCCATTGCGTTGGTGTGTTCTGGTGAGGCAAATGGACCCGTGTGTTGAGGGGCTGTCAGGTGCTTTCCTGTAGAGATTGGAGCCTGCAGGCGTGGTGTTGCCGGGCGTGGTTATTTTCAAGGCACCGTTGGTGCGTTCTCAGGGCCCGGGGCTGTAGAGCACCACCTTGGGGGCCCAGTGGATTCCAGGCACACTCTGGGCACCTCTTCTACAGGTGTGACACCCCAGGGCGTGGAGGGATGGAGGCGCTCTCTGGGTGTGCCCCCTTCACGGGAATCCGCAGGGCGTAGAAGGTTTTATGTGCTTTCTCCCTGCGTTCTCCGTGTCAGGGACTGCAGGGTTTTTCAGAGCCCACCTGGTGCGTCTCCCACTCACGGGACTGTGGGTGAGGCACTTTCCAGGCGTGGCTCTTGTGCAGTGAATCCACCACTCGTGGTGTGTGGGTGTTCAGAGCCCCTGCTCCCGTGTGGCTCCCCCACACAGGCCCTTAGCGGAGGAGTGACCCAGGCGCCCTGTTATAATGACTTCACGGCAGGTTCTCACCGTGTCAGTGTGATGCAGGAGTTTTCAGGGCTCTCCTGGTGGGTCGCCCACGCTCAGAACTGCAGGGTGGGAGGCGAGAAGTGAGCAGTTCACTCTATGGGAGTGGTACCTGCGTGTCAGGGACACACAGCGCTACACTTCCCAAATCTGAGCTCTCGTGACACCTGACACCTGCGCTGCGGAGGTGCTGCTGCTGCAGGCGGGGCGCCCAGCCCGCTCGGTGCGGCGCGCACTCACCAGTGCGCTCGGTGGTTTCGTGCACTCACCAGGCAGGATGTGGGGGACTCCAGACCCTCGCCAGCTGCCTCTGCGCACCGAGCCGCACTGGTCCCCTCAGCGCAGGAACTTCCGAGGCGCCTTCCCGCGGCCCCCCTCAGCCACCAACACAACACCACTGTGCGTAGTTCCACACAGACCCAACAGTTTCGGCCGCCTGCTCCGCCTTCTCAGAGGCTGGAATCTCAGCAGGGGGCGAGAAATGCGGAGGCTGCCACGTCAACCCCGAGCTCACCAAACGTCCGGCTGCTGCAGTCTGCCTCCACCGCTGCCGAAGGCCTCCCGCCAGCGACGATCCCCCTGATCTCCCTGCCTCCGAGCTGGCCGCGTCTCCCGTCAGGCCGTTTTCAAAAGTGACTCAGCAGGTCTAGAGTGGGATGTCGGTTTCTCTGACTTTGCCCTGCTCCGTTCTCGTTGTTCTTCCGAGTTGTGTGGATCTTTTTGGCTCCACACTGTCCCAGGGAGCTTCACGGACCTCTCCCTGCGGTTCCCTGCTGTTCCTCTTTGCTGCTTCTGTAGCGTTCTATCCCTCTCTCACTAGACGCTCCCTCACAGCCTTCCTCCTACGTCGGCCATCTTCGCTCTCCCAATGCTACTATTTTATATGTAGCTTATTCCTTAATTTCCTTGAACTCTTGTATCTGCTTCTCACTTGTTTTAAAAAAACTTCATAAAAATGAAAAAAAAAATCTGGCAGTTTCTTAATGTCTTTATCATCTAATTCTGAGATTGAAATAGCCTTTTGATGCTTTGTGTGAGAGGCATCAGTAACCTCATTCATGATGCCTGTACCTTTTCTTTTGCCCTTGGACTTTGCAGTTCAGATGACCAGATTCTACTTCAGCTAATTGTCTCTTTAAGTTGTAGCATTCACAGGTCTGCTGATTGACTTCACTGTTCTCATTCAATGTCTGGTTCTCCATTTGTGGCACTCACACCATTTGCTCCAGCAAACTGCAGCCTCAGGCTCCTGCCTCGACACGCCCCCATGTGGGTACAGAGGCCCACATGACACAGACACCTGGGCCAGCTTGCACTGCTTTTCCAGGAACAATTACAGGGAACTGGATTGGAAGTGGGGCATATGGGACTTGAACTGGCACCCACATGGTGCCCAACAGGTACTGGCTTTACTCCCAGTCACGCTGGTGGCCCCTTTATATTTTTTATCGTTATTGCGTCAGCTAAATGAAGCTTCTAGTTATCTATCTGCTACCTCCAATTGGTCTTCCTTCTTCTGAGCCTCTTCTTACTCCCTCTTAGATGTTTTCTTTCACTGTCCTTTCCTCTTTTCCCTAACATTTTTGGCAGTATTATATCAGCACTTGACCATTCGAAGCAATGGCAAAGGCTTCCTCTGAGAAGCTCTTTTTGACATGTCTTCCCTTGTCACTGTGTTTTTAAATAACTATAAAATGTTTCACCCAGTTCATAGAGCTTGTCAATGATGGGGAATTGTTTTTCCCCATCTCTAAAACAAAGGAAAGCTGATTTTTACCCCCTTCAGTGCCTGTTGTAGTCTTTACGGGTCGTTGGTGTTCAACTGGTGTTTCACTGATTTGTCTGGAAGCTAACACTTCATAGAGCTTTCAAGGAAATTCCATTCCCATAAAAAACACTGAGGATTATTTTTGGATTTTTCTGCTTCTTTGTCTCTGACTAGAGAAGTTCTGACATCCTTCTTACAAGTTGTAAGATGTATCCACCAGAAGAAGAATAGATGAGAGAGATGCAGAATGTTAGGACTGAAAATATTTTTACAGATCCACATAATCCAGTCTTCTGATTTTTTTAGATGAACAGAACAGATATTTAGAAAGCTGAAATGACCATCTCAAATCAAATGAACACTTTGTGCTAACATTAGACTCTAGATATAGTTAGCTAAGTGCTGTTTCCTCAAGCAGTCATAGTACATGAGATGATATTATATTATGTTTAGTCTTGGACAATTAATTGTTAAAAGAACCAAATACTTACAAGGTTCTCATATCCATCTTACTAGCAACACATTAACAAACAGGAGATTGGGTCTTGAAAGTTTCTGAGTACATTTCCTCCCTTCCTGTAATTTTTTTCTAATTCATTCACCCCAACCGGGGAGTTGTTGATTGCATTACTTTCAAATTTACAGAATCATTTGCTGACATTCATATAAAATTTTTAATGAAGTGTAACATACTTTCAGAGAAGTAGGTAAATCACAAATGTATAAAGTTTAAATTTGCAAAAACTAACTGTGGTCGCAGCCATAGGACCAGCACCCAGGTCAGTACAGAGTAGCCCCAACAAGTTTAGAAACAATGAAATAAAACATTTGGAGAAATAAAAGGACTATGAAACAAATTTCTTTTTTCCTTTCTTCCTACAGGTATTATCGGTATGTGTGTTAACAACAATTCTTGGTTGTATATTTGGACTGAAACCAAGCTGTGCCAAAGAAGGTAATTAATACTCAGTACACGTTTTGTGTTTGTGTGTTTGTGTGTATGTGTAAGTGCGTGTGTGCAGGCTTCTTCAAAAAGTGATTGAGGTGAGTTATGCTGGTTTGTGCCTTCTTATTAAACTTATATTGAAGCTTACATTATTGTAGCCAGGTACAATGTACAACATCATTTTCTCGTATATTATTCCAAAACAAGGAAGAGGGGATACAACCAAAACCCCTAAGCAATACAAGATCAGTTGATAACAAACACATGGCTTCTGGTGCTATGTGCATGGAGCTCTTGCTGTCTGACTTTCTCCAGGTAATCCTAAGGAATCATTGCTGAAGCAGCCCTGGCGGTTGCTAGGCAACCAGTTAGCATTCTGGACAACTAGAAACTCATTCTGTGCCTTTTAGGTGTTTTTGTTTGTTTGTTTGTTTGTTTGTTTTAACACTGCAAATGGTAATTTCAAAGCAATAGTGTCATTAGTGCCATTTTAAATGTATTTTTCTTTTATATCAAGAATGTACTTTTCTTTATATATATTTTTTCTTTATATCACATACAGATCTCTTCCCTGTGTTCTCAAAATTAATACTAATAATCAAAATGATTGCAATTGACCATACTAGCATTATTTTGACTGTCATATAGATTTGTGTTTGCTTTGTGTACTTAATTTTGCCTCCTGTAACGTTTCTTATGGTTTTTCTTGGGAATGCAATTTTGAGAACTGAACAGATTCTTATCCTAATCAACTAATCTGTAACTATAATATGCACCATTTAAGACATCTTATTGATTATTAAGCTTTTATGTGTTACTTAAAAGAGTGAAAAAGAGTATCTGTAGTTACTTAGTGATCAACTTGCAGTGAATTATCCAACAAAACAAGGAAGTTATGAACTTTACTGCCTACTGTGTTGTCACTCTACAGAAATTAGCTCTCTGAATAGTGTGTGACTCATAGAAATCAAGACTAAGTATTAAAAAGTAGAAATTTTAATTTAAGTTCAATATAATACATACTGTTGTATTTTATAACTGACCAAATAACTATTAATGAACTTCAGATAATAGTTATTATTATAGTAGTTTTTCTGCTTTTGGCTCAGGAAGGTTAGTGTTTCTGAGAGTAATAATTGCTGTTATTATATGTCTTTAAACTTGCCTGATTTCTTAGTATCAATTTAGACTTAAATTCTATGGGAGCCTCTTGTTGTTTCAGAAGACCATGAAAATCAAGAACTGAGACTATTACTTTTTGTTAATTGAATGTACATTATTTGCCTCTCACCTTTTCTCAATACTCTAGTTTTCTAATAATTAGTAAGAACCTAGCTTATTTGAGAAATGCAGTAAGGCACTACAGCAATAAGATGATATTGAGCGAAAAGTGTTTTCTTGTTTTTCCTGGTGTTTGCCCATAGAGCAAAAGTTGATTAGCACCAACTCTGCATTCAGAACCTGCTGCATATCAAGGACACAGTACACTAGAAGAATCCAGACGTGCTCTTTTTCTTCACAAATAGATAGTCTGGTGTGAGACCAGGATGTCAACCAAGGATCCTTGTTACAGATGGAACTAGGTGACTGAAGGGAGGGACCAGGTTTTATACAACACCTGCTGGTGTGGATGTGGGGAGAAAGCTACCCTCCTTCACTGTTGGTGGGAGTGTAGGCTAGTATAACCACTGTGGAAGTCAGTATGGAGAGCTCAGCTATCCCACTCCTGGGAATATATCCAGAGGAATGAGATCTGCATATGACACAGGGATCTGTAATCCTATATTTACAACAGCACAGTTTACAATAGCAAAAACATGGGCACAACCCAGATGCCAGTCCAAAGAGGAGTGGATAAAGAAACTGTGATGCATCTAGTCCGTAGAATATTACTCAGCCATTAAAAAGAATAAAACCCAACCATTTACAACCAAATGGTTCCAACTAGAGATCATTATGCTCAGTGAAATAAATCAATCCCAAAAGAACAAATATCATATGTTCTCTCTGATATAAGGCAACCTTCAAACAGAATACGCAATCAATAGCCCATCCAGTACTGTTTTTGCTGCAACTCATGGGTTTTGAGATTTTTGTTTTTATTTTCATTTCTTCAAAATAGTTTGTTTTCTCTTATTAAATTTTTCACTGACTCATAAAAACGAGCTTATGTAACAGAAATTGAACCTGGGTTGGGGTGTTGGAGAAGGCTTTTGCTAAGGAGCTAGGTTTGATCTCCAGGTGAAATGGTGTTTGGAATTACAGGGTGCTGTGGAATCTGTTCTGTGCACACATACTGCTATTTTCTGCCAGTTCCTTCCCTTTCTGGAGTACTTCTGAACAAACACTTTAAAAAATGAAAAAGATTTTAACATTTAAAAAAAAATTTGGGAAATCCATTACTGCTTAAGCTGACCTTTTCATAATGTAAAATATTCAGAACCAAGACTCATTTTGATTTATCTTTGTCATGTCTTGGATATATAAGCCTTACCAGATCCAGAAGTGCTTATGATAAGTAAAAGAAACAAGTTTTCAATGTCAAGAAAACCAAGTGCCCATCTCTATACATCAGGTCACCTTGTGTGTGTGTGTGTGTGTGTGTGTGTGTGTGTGTGTGTGTGTATGGAAGTGTTCTTGGGTGATGTGTGTTCTAAGTAGTATGTGAATCTAGCTAACTTAGGTGTATTAACTGATATTGCTTTATAATTAGGACGATTAAAATCATCTAACTCACTGTTTAACATTTTCAGTAAAAAGTTGCAAAGGCCGATGTTTTGAGAGAACTTTCGGGAACTGTCGCTGTGATGTGGCTTGTGTTGACCTTGGAAACTGCTGTCTGGATTACCAGGAGACGTGTATAGAACCAGGTAAACGTGCAGAGACAAAGGTGGCATCATGGACAGGAGTCTCAGATCAAAAGAATGATCTGTGTTTTATAGGCATGTGATATATCTGATTCATCTGAGTTTTAATTTACAATGTACACCTGTTTTAACATTAGTGTTTATATTCCAATAGCTGCAGAGAGAGGATATTCCACATAATTTACCTTCGCTAAACATTGGATGGATAGCAGAGCTGTGCCTGTGTCTGATATATACTGAAAGCTTTGGTAGTCTCATTTGTATTTAAGCTAAGTTCTAAAAGGCTGCCTGAAATATGTAAAAACTTTCAGGGTGGCCTTATTAAAGGAACATCCTTAGATATACAGCTACACTTTAAAATGAAGCTATCAGAATGTGAAAAACTTTTGTTTGTTTTATGCTTCCTGGCATATGACATGGAATAGTATAGAAATGGGGATGAATCACATTTAGATTGAATTTTGACAACCCTGAAAGCTTGAGGAAGCCGAATCCTACATCTCAGTTGCATAATGATAATTATTGTTGTCCAAGTTTTAAAATGATGGAATTCAGGACTTACAGTGAAATGACAATTTGAAATCCTAACAGTTGGTACCTTAATGTTTTATTTTTGGTAATTTTGAGTGAATGCAATGGTGGCAGATTCTAATCTATGAGTCAATTCTGAGTTCTTTTAGGATGTGTTACATTTCAACCGTACATACATCTTATTATCTGTTTCTAGAACGCATATGGACCTGCAACAAGTTTAGGTGCGGAGAGAAAAGGCTGTCCAGAAGCCTCTGTGCCTGCTCTGATGACTGTAAGGAGCGGGGTGACTGCTGCATCAACTACAGTGCTGTGTGTCAAGGTCAGTCTCCCATGGGTTTGTTGGGCTTTGCGGCAGCCTAGTGTGCTATAGTCCTGGCTGATTTTGCATAGGTGTTTTCTTGTGTATTAAGTGTGCTATTTATTAACCAGTTATATGAGCTGAAAAATACTTTAAAACATTATACTAGGGTGCGGCCTGGTAGCTGAGTGGTTAAAGTCCTCGCCTTGCACACGCTGGGATCTCATATGGGCAACAATTCATATCCCAGCTACCCCGCTTCCTGTCCAGCTCCTTGCTTGTGACCTGGGAAAGCAGTCGAGGATGGCACAAAGCCTTGAGACCCTGCAACTGTATGGGAGACCCGAAACAAGCACCAGGTTCCTGGCTTGGATCAGCTCAGAATCCGCTGTTGTGGTCACTTGGGGAGTGAATCATCAGATGGAAGATCTTCCTCTTTGTCTCTCCTCCTCTCTGTATGTCTGACTTGCCAAGAAAATGAATATATAAATAAATCTTTAAAAAAACGTATTCTAAAGAAGAATGCAAGCATATGCATGAGCAGAGAGCCTGAACTGTGAAGCATTTTGTCGTGATGTCCTAGCTTTCCAAGAATTCTTGTCTACAAGTGGCCAGTTTGGTTTTAGCCAAAGCCACTCACTGTCCTGCACCTCCCTCTCCTGTTGGTTTTATAGATGCTGGGTCTTTGATGCCTTGTTTGTGGGAAAAATACTTTTTAAGTCCTAGTTCACTTTTATGCCCAAGTTCTCTTGGAGTAAGTGAAGGCAGTGCCAGATGCTTGGAGAATCAATGTGAAATGACTTCAAATGATTATAGGCTATTTCGTAAGGTGGTGTTTTACAGTGTCTTTTTCATGTCACAGGATTCCTTGAAATCACTTGGCAGAACCTGGCTATGTATGAGAGAGAAATAACATCAGTGTACCAAAGATTTGGTTGCTTGGATAGAAGGAGGTTTAGAATTTTTGCTGAAAATTATAGGAATTTGAAAATGCAAAAAAAAAAAATCAAATTCTCTTAAATATAGTGTAGTTGGCTCTCAGAATCCAAGATAGTTTTAATGATTGCAGGACCCTATGCATACTAAACTCTGAAGAGGTTAAAGTCCCTTATCTAAAATGACGTAACTGATATGCATCTTCTTAAGTATTTAAATCATTACTAATTCCTAATACAAGAAATATGCTATGTAAGCAGCTGTTTATACTGTATAGTCTAAGGAATAATACATAAAAAAGCATATTTCAGCACAGAAGAGGTTTATGATGTTTTAAAAAATTTTTGTTTTGTTTTGTTTGTTTGAGCCTTGAGCATTTCAACCCACAGTTGGTTGGATCCATGGGTACAACACTTGTGGAGGACTGTGATGTGTGTTAGTCTGGCAATGAGGCATTGCTTTTCCATCCTCAAATAAACTGACTCCTGAAACAGAATAGCTTCTTTTATTCATTATACTTCTCCAGTGTCATCATTTTTTGTCTGCATACCTGTTCGCCCAGTTTGGTTTCAGAATTTTTCTTAATGTATCTCATAGACATCAAACTATCATCCCTGTTAAGTCTGTTCAACTCATTTTATTTTCTGAACAATATTTTAGGTGAGAAAAGCTGGGTAGAAGAGACGTGTGAGAGCATTGATGAACCTCAGTGTCCCGAAGGGTAAGGTTCTGTTCTCAGATGCTATCTTTTCATTTTTAGAAATGCCGTTTGTTTCTTTTTCAGAATGTAAACATGATAATCGTTATTTTTATCCTGATCCATGTTTCACACCAGTGGTATTGAGATGATTACAGTGTGACACTTACTTTGGAAACTGGTGGGAAAAAGACCACAAATGTTTGTTATTCCAAAAGCCATTATACCAGAGCATTTACCTAAGAGCCTACTAAATCATCTTTTTTCTTTTCTGTTCACTAGAAATAGTTTCATGCAGATGTTTATAATGAAATCTAAGTGTACCTGATTCTGTGGGGTCTCCCAAAAATGCTATGTTATAGATACTACTTATTGGGAATTGTAGTTGTTTCAATGTATATATTTAAGATGGGAAGGGGTAGAAAAAAAGGCAAATATGTGTTTGCCTTTAACTTTTACATTACTGAGTAAGGGCTGGCATTAGGTGTAGCAGTCAAGTCCCTGTTTTGGGGATGGCTTCATCCTGTGTAAATTACTAGGTTCAGGTTCTGAACTTGCTTATGGTTCCTAGGACACACACTGGGGGACAGCAGGTGATATCTCAGATGCACGAGTCTCTGCCCTCCCCGTGCGAAACCCAGATTGGTAGCCAATTTCCTGGCATCATCCTGACTCAGATGCAAGTATTGTGCATTATGAGAGTAAACCAGCGATGGGGTATCTTGGTCTCTATGCCTTTGAAATAAAGTTAAATACAGAAGTGCGATTTAAGATTAAAAAGATTTATTTGAAAGTCTGGATTACAAGAGAGAGGTTTGGGGGTTGAGGGAGAGAGAAAAAGACAGAGAGAGATACCGAAATCTTTATCTGCTGATTCATTCCCCACATGGTTTCAACAGACATGGTGAGACAGGAGCCAGGAGCTGGGAGCCACAAGCTTCGTCTAGGTTTCCCACGTGGGTGCGGGGACCCAAGGACTTGAGCATTAGCAGATAACTGAATTGGAAGTAGAGCAGCCTGGATTTGAACTAGTGCCCACAGGGGATGCCAGCATTGTAGGTGGCAGCTTTATGTACTATGCCATAACACTTGCCTAATAAGTTAAAATTTGGATAACAAATAAATTAAAAATGACAAAATTATTGAGCCAATGTTCTGTGGGAAATCTTTTCATGGTTATTCTGTGATACACAGCTACTCTGCCATGCACTAGGTATCCCTACAGAATTGCTGAAGTGTGGCTGTTTTGCTGTAGCTATGTAGCCGCCCGCCATCCATAGCAATTTTTTTTTGCTGGCAACAACATATATGTGGTTTTGTTACCACCATCTTTGGATTTATAAAACGAAACTTTAGTTCTACTTGGTGTGTGTGACTTGGTGTGTGTGTGTGTTTGTACAATCTCATTGTTTGATTATTCCAATTTTGAATCCTTTATTTATATGTTTAAATAATAATTTTGTTATTGCTACAATAACTGTTTCTTTTAAATATGCTAAAACGATAGCATATCAATACAATATCAGAAGGTAGTTGTTCAGGAAAAAGTTTATGTAAATGAAATTCAGCAGAAATGCTACTTACTGTCATTTATTCTCCTGCATATTTGAAAATTCTTTTACATTTTGGTAGCATTTGGACCAGCTTTTGGAATGGTGTGAACCATGAATGATGTTTTTTGGATGGTAGCTCAAAATGCTGTGATGGCTTAATATACAATTTAATGATATATAGAGGTATACTGTGAAACAAACAAAAAGCCTGCAGGCCAAGCAAATGCAGGTAAAATCTCCTCTGAGAGCGTGCTTGCCAAGCTTTTAGGCACTGAATGTTACACAGAGACCTCAGTCGGAAAATCTTGGCTGCACTTTGGGAAGGTGGGAGAGCATCTTCACTGGATTTGTCTTCTTTTTGCTTCTTTAAACTTCTTTTTTCTTTCTCATTATCCAGATTTGAAGTGCCTCCTACCCTCTTGTTTTCTTTGGATGGATTCAGGGCAGAATATTTACACACTTGGGGTGGACTTCTTCCTGTTATTAGCAAACTAAGTGAGTAACTTCAGAGTTTACTGCTTTGTGTCCACAGTTTCAATGAGATAGATGAGGGAGGCAGTCCTTTTTGGAAAAGTACTGACAGACCCTGACTAACCGTCCTTCTCTGTAACCAGCTAGCTGAAGTTATTGTGGTTAAGCTATCCTCTAGGTACTTAAAAGATAGCATATTTTAATCCTTGGGAATGTTAATACATATATAGAATATTATATTTCTTTTGTGGAAAAATCTATTTAAGCATTCATGCTAAAATAAAATTTCAAAAGCACAGTATTTCTGATATGGAACCAGTACTTGACATAAAAATACTGTCTATTTGTTTAATCTCTATCATCAATGGCCCGATACAGCCCTTCTGATTTTTTTTTTACTTCATTCTGTCATTTTTTAAGGTATTTATGAAATAACATAATGATCTTTTTCAGTGCTTTAAATCACATTAACAACCAGCAGTGTGATTGTAAGCTATATTACTGTCATTTAAAAAGGAAAAAAATGCATATATGGAATGCATGGATCTGAAAACTGTTAAATGTCGCTGATTGCTAGTACTCCATGTTTAGATAGCTACAGTGTGCTACTGGATTGAAATGCAAATCAATAAAACCTTTAGTATCCTTTTGGAATTCTAAAATACTATTTACTAAACTTTGGTGTATGAGGTTGTCTTAAATATTAGAATCACTCTATGCAATGCCAACATGATTCCTATAGAGAGCTTCTGAAATAAAGTGTTTTTTTTTTCATTTTTACCTGTAATAAGAAGATTTTTAAATAAACAAAGATTTGGCGTAAACAGTCGAGTTTTACACAGAGAAAGCTCTGTTCTTGCCAGCAGGCCCACAGACTTTGAAGTGTAAATCCAGCCCTGTGTGACCACTGGAAGGAGAGTTTGTCTCCATGGCATCAAACTTAGCACCATGGGTTTAGAATGAAATAACTGTAGGTACCTATACAGGAAGTTTAAAAGATCATGCCTAGCCTGGAGCAGTTGGGACATAGCCTGTTGAGAAAGCAGTGAGATCTATAGACTTACACCAATCCAAGGAACTATTTCAAGTAATGAAATATTACAGTAGTAGAGGCAGAAAAAAGTGCAATATTAGGGTTGAATCACCAGGATTGTGGGAACAGTTTGACCTCCATACTTTGTCAGACATTAAGCCAAATGTCTTTGGTTTTAAAATGACTAAATTTGTCCAGGGTCAGCTATTGTCACATCTATGATCTAGAACTCTATCACCCCACCTACTGTTTTACCTTTGTTTTAATTTGCAGATTTATCTAATAATATGGTTTTAAAATGACCTCTTAATTAAGATATTTGACCACCAAGTAATATCAGAGACCTAGCACACGTGTTATTAGTACTTTTCTTTAAGGATTTATTTATTATTTTTATTGCAAAGTCAGATTCACAGAGAGAAAGAGAGGCAGAGAAAAATGCTCCATCTGCTGGTTCACTCCCCTAGTGGCCACAGTAGCCGGAGCTGAGCCAATCTGAAGCCAGGAGCCAGGACATTTGTCTGAGTCAGCCACGTGGGTGCAGGGTAGCAAAGCCTTGGGGTGTCCTTTATTGATTTCCCAGGTCACAAGCAGGGAGCTGTATGAGAAGTGGGACATGAACTGGTGCCCAAATGGGGTCCTGGCACATGCAAAGCAAGAACTTCAGCCACTAGGCTACTGTGCCAGGCCCAGAACTTGCTTGTCTTGAACATAATATGATGGATACATATGTGGTAGTTATTTAACTGGCTTAAATATTTTGCTCAATGTTTTTCTAAGAGAAAAAATTATTCATATAATTAAAATTTGATATCTAGAGTGTTGCTTTAACATAATCCTGAGTTTGTATCTGGTTATACCCCTTCCTGTGCTACGTTTATCTGTGATTTACACTGCTGTGGTACCAAAGTCAAATGGAACAAGCACATGATCTGATGCGCTTCATCACGATGCTAATTTTTTTTTTTTGTCTTCCAGAAAAATGTGGAACATATACTAAAAACATGAGACCAGTATATCCAACGAAAACCTTTCCCAATCACTACAGCATTGTCACAGTAAGCTGTGCTTTTCACCTAGACTCTGGTTTGGGAAATGCCACTTTATTTGTGCTATCTCCATTTTCTGATCCATGAAAAGGAGAGGCTGAAATCTTAAAATGATTTCTTAATTTCTTTTGTTCAAAGATTTTCTGATTCTTATGTCTTTTTTCCCCCATGAGGTTCTTTTTGTTATTGTTGTTGTAGTTTTAAGATTTATTCAGAGAGGAGGAGATTAATACAGAGATTTATACAGAGAGGAGGAGAGACAGAGAGGAAGATCTTCTGTCTGCTGGTTCACTCCCCAAGTGATCGCAACAGCAGGAGCTGGACTGATTCAAAGCGCGGAGCCAGAATCTTTTTCCAGATCTTCCACATGGGAGCAGGATCCCAAGGCTTTGGGCAGTCTTTGGCTGTTTTTCCAGGGCCTAGCCAGGGAGCTAGATGGGAAGTGGAGCAGCTGGGACATGAACTGGTGCCCAAATATGATTCTGGCACATGCAAGGCAAGGAATAGCCGCTAGGCTACTCTGCTGGCCCCTTCTCTATGTGCTTTATTTAAGCCAAACAGCTGTCCCCTACTCATGTGTTCTCAGCTTGCCTTTTTAATTATTCTGATGCTGAGTTTAAGCTAACCCCTTAGCCTTCCTCTAGATTGGATTACAGTCATCTTTTGTTTCGTTGGAACTTTCTAGATTCAATTTGAACTCAGGAGAAAAAGTGAAATTCATGAACCCTTGTGTGAAGCCCACAACATTGCGTGCCACTGGTACTGATGCAGGCTACTCCGGCACTCTAACAGGAGCTGGGTCGCAACTCTGCTAAAAAAGATAATAATTTATTGTCAGTATTTGGAAGACTGCTTATTCATATACAGCTTTTTAGACATGTTATTTGTGAATGTTATTACTACATCATTTAAAACATAAATGCTGTACAAAACTTTCAGTGGTTGATGGTGTTTTGACAACACCCATTGTTTTTTGTTCTTCTCTAATTAAACTTTATTATCATTAATTTCATCTTTGTTATGAGTTTCTTTTTTATAGTTTTATTGTGTGATCTTATTTAACATTAAGTAAATTCATGACTTATCAACATCTATATTTTTATCTTTTGTAGGGACTTTACCCAGAATCCCATGGTATAATTGACAATAAGATGTATGATCCCAAAATGAATGCATCCTTTTCACTAAAAAGTAAAGAGAAATTTAATCCCGAGTGGTACAAAGGAGAACCTGTGAGTGTCTTGTCTTAACTTCTGATGTCGCTTTTGTTATTATTGTCATTTGTTTCATTTGGAGTAAAATAATCAGACTCCCCAGAACTCTTTATGACCTATTTGATTTACTGTATATGTGAGCACCTTTCCCTAATGGATATGAATGCTGGTAACCCTAAATGCAAGTTGCTTGATTGCATCAAGTGAGAGTAATTTCAGAGATGGGTTTGAGTTGTATTCAGCCACTTTCATTTTCTGATTGGGTCTTCTTACATATATTAGCATGAAGCAGTAGTCTGGGTGAGTTTAGATTTCCACAACGCTATTTAGTTTTTGGTTGAGGTGAGCCTTGGCTTCATTTGATGCATTTTAAAATAAAGATTCTTTGTGATCCTGATTTGAGATGTGCTGACCTTTTTATTTTTTCTGATTGCTACATTCATTATGTAGGATCTTTTTGGCCAACTTTGATATTCTTTAGAAGGAAAAAGAACATTATATTTAATTTGCAGGTTATGAAGTCAAATTTAGCTCTGATATCAGATGATTTTGGGCAAATCATTCTTGCTATACTTTGGTTTTCTCATTTCTATATCATGGATAATATTGTTAACTATGTCACAGGGTTGTGTGAAGAATATATAAACTAATAACAGAATGCCTACAGGGATATTCATACTGCTATTGGCAGTTAATAAATGCTTAACAAATGTCAGTTACAGAAGCAAAGTTGTCAGTAACTTAAATACAAGTGTTTTTCCTCTTTCAAATTAATGAATTGATTTCTGTCCATCTTATTTTAGGTTAAGTGTTTTTTTGTTTTTTTGGGGTTTTTTTGCAATTATTTAACTTCTTTTTGCTGCTGTCATATAACAAGTTTGTTATTATCTAATTGTAGGAGCTTGCTGCCCTCAGGAACATTCTAACTTGAGCACATGCATTCCCAGGAGGTGAATGTTTACATGATTTCCTAACTTCCCTTCATTATCTTCTCCAGATTTGGCTCACGGCAAAGTATCAAGGCCTCCGGTCCGGCACTTTCTTTTGGCCAGGGTCAGATGTGAAAATTAATGGAATACTCCCAGACATCTACAAAATGTATAATGGGTATGCGTAAGCAAAATTTTCAGGGTCCTGTAATATGCTTACTTTTTTCATTCCATCTTTTAAAAATCAAGTTCTGAGCCGTAGCTTTTGAGTGATATATTGACTGGAAAATGCAGACTCAGAATAAGAGCTCTACCTCAAAGAGCTTTGGATACAAGGTAAATACCGAAACTACACAAGTGTTTTTTTGAAACACTAATGACACCTCTCGTTCTGATCTTTGGTCCAGAATTAAAAGTGAGTGCATGGGCCTAGCACGATAGCCTCATAGTTAAAGTCTTCACCTTGCACGCACCCGTATCCCTTATGGGGGCCTGTTCATATCCCAGCTGCTCTGCTTCCCATCCAGCTCCCTGCTTGTGGCCTGGGAAAGCAGTTGAGGACAGCCCAAAGCCTTGGGAACCAGCACCTGCAAGGGGGACCAGAAGAAGCTCCTGACTCCTGGTTTCAGATCGACTCAGCACCGACTATTGTGGCCACTAGGAGAGTGAATCAATGGACAGAAGATCTTCCTCTCTGTCTCTCCTCTCTTTATATCTGATTTCCCAATAAAACAAATAAATAGATAAACATTTTTTAAAAAGTGAGTTCATGATGGAAATCGAAATCTGAAAGGGGAATTCTGCATATTTTAACTGTAGGAAGAAAATGAACTAAGAGCAGAAAAGGAAGTATAAAGAATGACACAGGTAACAGTCACTTCTTAGTGTGTGAATGTATTTCTCTGACATCAGGGACACTTCTGGTCATTAATTTCTACTTAGTTCTTAAAGTTTATGTATTTTTGCTTATTTGGAAGACAGAGTGACAGAAGAAAATAGTAGAGGTAAGATGGAGGGTAGGGGAGAAAGGAGGGAGAGAGAGAGACAGAAATCTTTCATTGATTATTCTGGTCCCCAAGTGCCACAGCAGGCAGGGCTGGGCCAGGCTGAAGCCAGGAGGCAGAAACTCGCTTTGCGTCTCCCTCGTAAGTGGGAGATAGCCACATACTTGGGCCATAATCTGTTGCCGCTCAGGAGCATTAACAGGAACCTAGATCAGAAGTGGAGGTGGGACTCAGTCAAGGCAACTTGATGGGGTACTTGTATCCCAAGCTTCAGCTTAACCCACCAGTGTACCGCAGTATACATGCCTCTATATGGATAAATAAATAAGTAAATAAATATTTATAAATTATTTATTTTTATTACAAAGTCAGATATATATATAGAGAGAGAGGAGGAGAGACAGAGAGAAATATCTTCTAACCGATGATTCACTCCCCAAGTGACCTCAATGGCTGGAACTGAGCCAGGACCCAGGAGCTCTTCTGGTGTCCCACATGGGTGCAGGTTCCCAAGGCTTTGGGCCGTTCTTGACTGCTTTCCCAGGCCACAAACAGGGAGCTGGGTGGTAAGCAGAACTGCCAGGATTAGAAGTGGCTCCCATATGGGAGCCTGGCACATTGAAGGTGAGGACTTCAGCCACTAGGCCACAGCGCTTGGCCCTAAATATATTTTCTAATGTAATAACCTGATCAGATAACCTCCCTATAGTACTCAAAAGCTGTAATGTATTTAAAACAAAACAAAAAGAAAAAACTACCTTTCATGGAAGACCTTTTGTGGCTGAACTCATGAGATAACCACTAATATACCTGCACAGTTTGCATTACAAAGTTGATATGGCAGGATATTTAGGGAACAGAAAAGGTCATAAGTTTCAACCAAGAAGGGCAAAGCAGTTTTCTTTGGCAGTCTTATGTTGTATTGTATTATTTCTGATTCACATGAGAATAACGCAATGGCTGTAACTCACCTTCTTATTGGCTGTTGTTCTCATTCCATTGATGAAATTGAGATGGTTTGTGAGATTTTAGATAGTATGCATTGTACTGCATACTGAAATATTAGTAATATCAGATGTTGAGCTTTCCAAAGTCTAGTAGAGAACATAGCAATTATCTGTGTCACCTGTATGTGGGTTGGGCCAGTACTGTGATGGAGGTATGTAAACAGACCCTGTGCCAAGAAGGTATAATTAATTCTGCTGAAGAAACATTGCCTGGAGAACAATTATCTACTCATCAAGTGCCCACTTTCCAGTTACACAAGAGTCATCAGTGAGTTCTTTATGAGGTACCCTTTGCAGAATGCATTAATACATGAGCTGTTCTTGTGGCTTACAATGATGGCTCTCAGGCACAAGGATAAAATCCTCAAGTGGGGGATAGGAAATAATTTTTAAAAATCTTATTACAACTATAACTGGTATAAAACTTAATGTTTGTTCTTTATATATAAGTATTCATACTAAAACCATCCTGTGACTTTAAGATACAGACACATGCTATCTTCAGTTAAAAAATAAAAAATAAAATTCAAGCGATGATTCCGTGTTTTTTGTTGTGTTAATGCTTCATTTTAGTTCAGTACCATTTGAAGAAAGAATTTTAGCTGTTCTTCGGTGGTTACAGCTTCCTCAAGATGAAAGGTATGTAGACAATTCCTATTTTAAATGTTCCTTTGTTACATGGATGTTATATGCTGCTTTAAAATAGACTACATCAAAATTTTACTATTAACTATGTTATTTTATATTTAAGTAAATTCCTCAGTGAACCATTGCACATTTTAAAGAATTTAATTGATTCTGAACACATTTAGAAATGTTGCCCCTGGGTTGTTGAATTTTAAATCATTATCAATTGTTGAATTATTCTTTCCATTCTGTTTTTCAATGTGTTCGTAAAATATTACATTTTGGTACTGTTTGATTTAGACCACACTTTTACACTCTGTATTTAGAAGAACCAGATTCTTCAGGTCATTCATATGGACCAGTCAGCAGTGAAGTAAGTATCCTTTTTAATCAGTGATTTTTCATTAACCCTAACACCATCTAACTGAACCTTGCTTTGAAACAGAATTTTGAGACTATTTCATAGATTTTGTGATATCTACAAAGACACTTAGGCACAATTTAGAAATTAAAGAATGTACTTAGCATAAGATTTGGGAGTGTTGTTTTACTAACCATTTTCATAGTGCTAAAAGGAACTGATGATGAATTGATTTCTGTGTTTTGAATTCTAAAGCCGTGTCTACTCCATAGCCTTCTTATTTGGCCTAAAAATCTGTAGGCAAGTGCAAATCCCAATGAAAACAGAGTGCTAAATGAAATATCAGAAAAACCTTGATCTGAACTCTCCTCTTTAGAAGGAGGAGAAAACATGCTTAAAACAGAGTTAGCACATCAAAGGATTGAGGATTTTATTAGGAATGTGGAGATACGCAAATAATAAATTTTTAGTGAGTGGTTTCTCGGAATCTAGTGATAGGAGAGTAGCAGCTTATGGACTTTCTCAATGTAAAATCTTACTTGAGCTGACACCTGCCAGGGCTTAGGCCTTGCCTATGTTTGTTATCTGTGTAGAGCCTGTACATCCTTCTTTCACTGTTCGGGTCACGATGTCTCTTTTGTACTTCAGAGTGCAGGAAGCGCTAGACGAGAAAATGATTTAAGCTTCTTTCCTTGAACCTCTAAGTCAGTTTCCTTCTGGTACATATTTTGTCAGTTACCTAAGATACCAAACAGACAAGAAGAAGCCTCCATCTGTGAATGTCATTGGCCAGGATGAAAAGGAGGAATATTACTGTTAGAATCAGCCAGTCACAATTTTTGTCTATAGTTATTTTTTATCCATGTGATTCCAATGGAGAAAAGATCATAAATGTACTTGCTTAATAACCAGCGTTTAACTTTGATCTGCCATCAGCTCTTCTGCTCAAATAGTTCAGGAAGAATAGTTTGTGAGCACTAGGTCCAAATGAAAGCTTGGCTTGATACGTTTGTTTTATGTCCTGGTTTGTTTTAACATTTATCATTTATTTGAAAGTCTGATTTCTATAGAGAGAGGGAGAAAGAGAGATCAGAGGTCTTCTTGGTTCACTCTCAGAGGGCCACAACAGTCAAGGCTCAGCCAGGCAGCAGCCAGGAACTTCTTCCAGGTCTCCCAAATGGGTGCAGGTACCCAGAGGCTTGGGACATGCTCTGGTGCTTTTCCAGCCCATTGGTAAGGAGCTGGATTGGCAATGATGTCTCTGGGATGTGAAGCAGTACCCACATGCAATGCCTGTGTTGTGATTGGCAGCTTTACCTGTCATACTGCAATGCATGCTCCTTGGTTTTGTTAGAAACAGTATTTTTTCATCTACTTGAAAGGCAGAGCAATGAAGAGAGGGAGGAAATAGAGATAGAGATCTTAAGTTCGCTGGTTCTCTCCCCAGATGCCTGAAACAGCGAGGGTAGAATGCAAGCTGAAGCAAGAGCCTGGAGCTCTTTCCAGCTCTGCCATGTGAGTGGCAGGGATAGAAACACTTAAGCCATCACCTGCTGCCCTGCTGAGTGCCTTGTTAGGAAACAGAAGCAGAGAAGGCAGGACTAGAATTAGGCACTTTGGTATGAATGCTGGCATTGAAAGTGTTGGCTTAGCCTGTTGTGCAGCAATACCAGCCTGTTGAGTTCTAGTTTAAGGTGCCATTTGATCTAAATGTTTAACAGCAGCAGAGGAAAACAGAAAAGGAGCAACTGTGATTGCTTTTATTTCAGATAAAAGGGGGTGAAGAAGAAAGCTGCCCCCACAAGGGCCTGTTCTTACACTTTGTGCTCTGTGCATCCGAATCTGTCTCCAACAGCTCCGCTGTAATCAGTGACCCCGCTGATCCTTGCTTCCTTCCATCCTTCAGTGAAGCACAAACGTTCCTGCTTAGAGGTCAAAGGGAAAATTTCCTGCATGTGTTGTTTTGATGGGAACAATTGACTGGATGCTAGTATTTTTGTTTTTTAGTATAGTCACTGGCATTTAAGAATCATGTCTATGTCATTTTGGCTACAAAAAGATCTAAAGATCATTTTGTACTAGTAGTTTGATTATCAGACTATACACATTTTAAAATTGGTGTTCTGCTTTCTAACTCACTAATGATTTTCCTAAGTACCTGCTTTCCTAATGGTTCTTTATTCAAGGTTGAACCCATTACTTTTCAGACCTTACTTGGAGAATCTGTAAACTGTGTAACTCTAATAGTACTGACACGTGAAAGCCCACTTTACTTAATGCTTAAACCCAATTTTTGTGTCTTATGCTTTTTTGGGTGAATAAAAGATCATGTTTAATGGAATTTGTCTCATGTTACAGAGAAATATTCTGAATATATATGAAGATTAAACTGATTTGCTAGACTATAGAAAACACACAAAGTTGCACAAGAGATTGTTTTCAACTGATTTTATAAGGAAAGAGAAAAAAGATTTAAAAAAAAGCTATAATGCAGTTTGGCAAACCATTTGCTATTCTGTAATGTGTATGCATGCGTAAAATATGTAATATTCATATGCAAAATTATATATTATTTAAAAGAAAGTAATAGATCGTATTCTTGAGAGATCTGCATCAAAATTGTAAGCAATGGACCTATGAGAAGTATTTTGTGAATAATATTGCGCTTTTTCACTGTTCACAGTCAGCCCTGTTTTGCTGAGCTTCATGTCTTTGACGCTGATCTTATCTCATATGAATCTCTTCATCACAAGTGAACCCACTGCACTTTTTATTTCTGCGCATAGATAGCTTTATGTAGAAATAGCCATGGTGGAATGCGGCACATGAGATTCTTTCCTTTTCTTAGGTCATCAAGGCCCTGCAGAGGGTTGATAATATGGTGGGCATGCTGATGGATGGCCTGAAAGAGCTGAACTTGCATCAATGCCTCAACCTTATCCTCGTTTCAGATCATGGTAATCTTAAGTTTGTACCATTTGCTCCTTCGGCTAAATGGTGTTAAAAGTTTGCTTGATTGATTTTTGTTTCATTATTTCCTCTAATTATTACAGGTTTTCAAATTAACTACAACTTGTTATGGAAAATCTTCAGGGAAAATGTTTTAAATATTAAATATGAATGAAGCAGAATTCTGAGAAAATCTAATCACATACTAACCGTAACCTATGTCTCTTCTAATTTGGGAAAGGAATCTGAAATTTTTCAGTGTTTTTTACATTATGTTTTGCTAAGTTCATAATTTTAGATTCAATTGAAATGTATTATTATGTCCTCTTAAATGTTTTAGTATGATAAATCTAACCTAAAAGTTAGTATAATATCAGCCTATGCTAATTTTGATATTTGGATTTTACTTTTGCTTATTATAATTTTGCTTTAAAGATTCATTTTGTTTATTTAAAGGCAATGTTATGGAGAGAAGGAGAGAAAGAGAGGGATATCTGTCTTGTGGTTCATTTCCAAAAAGCTGTAGCAGCCAGGCTGGGCGAGACCTAAGCCAGAAGCCAATCACAGGATGGTTGATCTAGATCTCCCACACGGGTGCAGTTGTCCAGCCGGACTGTCACCTGCTGCTTTCCCAGATACGTTAGCAGGGAGCTGGGCCGGAAGCAGAGCAGCCAGGACATACACTTGCATTCTTATGTGTGTCTTAACATCATGGACAACTTAGTCTGTTGTACCAGAACGCCAGTTCCTACAGCAATTTTTGCAATATATTTTCCTGTGCAACTTGAGGACTGTGGAAGTGGTGTGCATACAAAAAAGTAGAAAACAAGTTCTTTTCTGTTTGCTTTGTTCTTTTTAGATTCGTATACAATTGCAGAACCCTAATTTCAGAAACCGTCCTAAGAAGTTATGTGCTAAGGAAGGTTCAATTCTGGAATGAGACTGACAGAATGCCAATTAGTATTATAAGTGACTTGAGACAAATACCTGAGTTTTCCTGTTGGGTTTGAAACTGTGATAAAACATCCTCTTTACTTGCATAATGATGTTGAGCTAGTTTTGAGTAAAAGAATGGGAAATGATCTACAAAAATGTAAAGTGGTGTATCTAGCTGAAATTCTGTGGCTTAGCAGATGTTCACTAACATGAGCGCTGAACTCATGTCAATGAATAAATAACAAAGTGAAAATAACTCCTGCTCTACCTATTATTATTGTCATTACTATTATTGTTTTATTAAGGTGGCTATATATTTTGTCTCCTAGGCATGGAGCAAGGCAGTTGTAAGAAATATGTATATCTGAATAAATATTTGGGGGATACAAAAAATATTAAGGTTGTCTATGGACCTGCAGCTCGGTTGAGACCATCTGATGTTCCAGATAAATATTATTCATGTAAGTTTATCTCTGTGCTAACTTTGGCTATCTAAGATTATGTTTATCTAAATCATATGCTTCTAAACTTACAGGCATCCAAGTTAATTTCCTTTCAGTGAGTATATTTCTAGTACAAATCTTTTATACTCAGAGGTTATATAAGACTAGATGTGAGCACACAAATCTGCCTACCTCTTTGTTACTTGTATCCTGATCCCATTTGTTGATCTTCACACAATTCCATCAAGTGTGTTTTACCTGTATTAGCTTCATGTCTATACTAGGAAGGAATTTTAAGAGAAAGACTGAGCTACTCTTACTCACTTTAAACTAATGACATTGCGTTAAGATGACTTACCTTGCTTTAGTGTGATGTTTTATTTCTAAAAGAAATACTGTCAGTAAGGTTAAAGTCTGTAACCAATTAATCCCAAAGAATAGTCATTCCCAAGAACAATGAAATTTTGTCTTTCAAAAAGACTGGTAAAAGAAATTTCACATTCTGTCCTAATCACTTGTGGAAGACAAATTCATGGGCTATTTTTACTCTTACGTTTTAAAGATTTATTTATTTGAAAGGCAGAGTTACAGAGAAAGAGGGGGAGAGGGACGGAGCAAAGGAGTGAGGGATGGAGGAAGAGAGAGAAAGAAACAAAGGGAGGAAGAGAGGGGAGAGAGAGAATCTGATTGGAAGTAGAGCATCTGGAACTCTAACTGTTCCCATATTGGGTATCAGTGTTACAAGCAGTAGCTTCATCCACTTACACCACAAAGCCAGCCCGTCCATAATATTTTAAAAAGATAACCCTTGCTTTGCAAGTCAAATCTGTTTCACAATTTTTCATGTCTTTCATAGCCTTCAGACACAAAGAACAAATACTAATCTGTTACAGTGAGCTTTGAAATGGAAAGAAATAAGCTTTATCCTACAGTTATCAGAATTAGATTATGTTTGTTTCTGCAACGAGATATGTTTTAATAGATACCACTGAATTTTAATGAGGAAACACAGATTTTCCTCCAAGAAAAGTTATGCAAATATATCTACTATGACAAGGCACACATTCAACATGTATAATGAGAAGTTCTAATTTGTATTTTTTTAATTTATAAAGGTAATACTTGGTTTTTATGGAAACCTGTGTAGAAAGTGTAGAGGTGGGAGCAGTCCCCAAGGATGGTTGAGAAAAGTGGTTGACTTTCGGGAGCTTTTTCCTCAAGTTGGCTCCCTGGTTAAAGCAGAAATGACATGTATGCTAATTACTCTACATTTATAAAAATATATTCTTTTACCTAGGTAATTTTGTTAAGCTTATGCAAAGTATAGCTGAAAGAAAATTTGGAAAGCTAGATGACTATTGATTTGTGATGTAAAACATACTAGATTCGTATGCTTACTATACAAATTCAGTGTTAAAACTACTCTATCTTATAAATTTTCTTGTGCCATTCTTTGAAAATTCTGGGATTACGGAAGCTAAAATTGAGTTTTAGGATAACCAACGCTAAAGTACCAATTTCCTACCCTGTGTTCCTCCACTTCAGAAACCCAGTTCTCCTCTTTCGAGATATCATCTTTAAGTTAAGGATGTGTTTTCCCGTGTTTTCTGTTCATATATTAAACACATAGTTTTTATTTTTATGCACTGTAATCACACTAAGTCTAGATAGGTTTATGGGATAGACAGTAGGCTACTCAGATGACAGGGTAGATGGATGGAAGGATAAATGAATGGGCAGATGGATGGATAGGCAAGTGGTGGTTAGGGACAGATATGTGGTTGATCACTTGAATGAATGCACAGAGATCCTGTAACTAGCTGTATCGCTTAAGAGAAGTAAACTATTTTCTGGGCTCGTTTTGCTGATATGTAATTATTTAAGTGTATGTCTGGAACATATATTGGTTTTTAATATATAGAGTTTGAGTCTGACATTATTTTTGTGTCTTTAAAAATTGTGATATGCTTCACATGTTAATGTTTCTTCTTTCTCCCCTTTAGTTAATTATGAAAGTGTCGCCAGGAATCTTTCTGTGAGTATCTTTAATTTCTCATAATCTAGTTATTGTTAGTTTTATATAATATGTATTTAGAGAAAAGGTTTAGCATTTACTCTTTTTCCGGTTATGATTTTGCTTTTCAAAAAAATTTTTTTGATCAACATGTAATACTTGTATTTTTAATATGGGGGACAGTGCAAAATTTCAACATAAATACATAGCATAAAGCAGTCAAACCAGGAAGTAGCTTCTCCATTTCGTTATGTTTTTGTTGTGTTCAGAACATATCAGTTTCTCTCTTCTAGTTCTTTATATATTATTTAATACATTGTTGTAAATTGTAGTCATACTGCGGTGCTGTGAAACATTAGAAATCATTATTCCCGTCTGACTGTTTTAAATACCTGTTATCCAACCCCCTGCTCAACCCCCTCTCCTTGCCAGTCTCAAGTAATCATGATTTGATGTTTAGATTTACTAGCTTTCTAAACTTCCAGAGATAAGAAATATATTATTTGTCTGTATCTTACTTAGTTTCCTTAATGTAATGATATCCTGTTTTATTCATTTTGCTATCAGTGTCAAGATTGTATTACCTTTATTGCTGAATAATATTCCATTGTTTATATATACTCTAGCTTCTTTATCCATTTAGTCATTGATGGGCAACTGTGTTGATTTCATAGCTTGCCAATTTGTGAATAGTGCTTCAATGGACACAGGAGAGCAAATATCTCTTTGATATGCAGACTTTATTTGATTATATCTAGGAGTAGAATTAGGAGTCAAATAGTTGATCTCTTCATTAGTTGTGCTCAATCACATTTGCAATAGTATATAAGGATTATCTTTTATATACATTCTCACCAACACTTGTTATTGTTTTTTTAATTTATTTTTATTTGAAAGACAGAGAGTAGAAACATTGGTTTACTCCCCAGATGGCAACAGAGGCCCAGTCTGAAGCTAGGAGCCAGGATCTTTCTCTGCGTCTCCGATGAGGTGCAGGGGCCCAAGTATTTGAGCCATCTTCTGCTACCTTCCCAGATCATTAGCAGGGAGATGGATGAGAAGTAAAAGCAGCCAGGACTTGAACTAGTGCCCAGATATGATTCCAGGACTGCAGGCAGAGGCTTAGCTGACTATGCCATGGCACTGGCCTTGTGTTCTTTTTGATAACAGTAATTCTAACTACAGTGAGATGATACCTCACTATGGTTCTGATTTGTTTTTCCCTGTAGGAAAAGCTAAGCACTTCTATTTGATGGTCATTTGTATTTCTTCTTAAAAAGATTATTTGTTCATTTATTCAGAGTATTGTTTAGGTTTTGTTGTTATTGTTGAGTTTTTAAAAGTTCATTCTATATTCTGGGTGTTAATCTTTTGTCAGACTTTGCAAATATTTCCTCCCATTCTGCCAGTTGTGTCTTTACTCTGTTGATTTGTTGCTTCTGATGTAAGAAAATCTTCTTACCTTTATAGAATCCCATTTGTGGGCTGGTGTATTTCACAGTGGACTGGGGTCTCACATGGGGGCCTGGTGGAGTTCTAGCTACTCCACACTCTGTTGGTGTGCCTCGAAAAGCAATGGAAGGTGCTCCAAGTATTGGCTTCAGCATCTCTGTGAGAGGCCCAGATGAAAGTTCTGGCTCCTGGCTCCTTGGTTTGGCCTCCCCCAACCCTAACCAGCAGTCAGAAGCATCATCTGCATTACTCACATGGATGCTGAAGCCCAACACCTGGAGCATCTTCTATTGCTTTTCTTCTTCCTCCCACCCTCTCTTCCACTCTTTCCATTTCCCCTTATATTGTCACAGTAGTATAATCCTTTAGTAACAGTTAAAAGTTTGATATTTTGCTACTTACGTGTATAACTTTGTTAGTATAGGCAAAGGTAGAAAATCTATTTAAAAACACAATCATCAGTAGTAATTTGATTAAAGTCTAGTGACATGCCCAAGAGTCCTAGGAATTTTACGTAGTGACAATTATAACTTTCTGTAATAGTTTCAGCTAGCTTAGAATGTTCATATTATAAATTATACAAGTAATACTGTTGATCATTTTCCATCTTTGACTTATTGGAGAGGGCAGTGAAAGATTTGTGAGCAAAAGTTCAATCATGAAGCAGTTTTAAGAGACATTATATTTAGATAATACATAACTCATATTTTTCTTTGCATGTTTTAATTTTAGTGCCGGGAACCAAATCAGCACTTCAAACCTTACCTGAAACACTTCTTACCTAAGCGTTTGCATTTTGCCAAAAGTGACAGAATTGAACCTCTAACATTCTATTTGGACTCTCAATGGCAGCTGGCACTGTAAGTTTTGACGGTCTCCCAGTCTCCCAGACAACCTATGCCTGACTTTAGTAAATCAAGGTGATCACTGGGCCCTTTCTCACAGTGCTGTATTTGAGAACTTTATGAATATGATTCTCTTATCCTATCTACCTGAAATTTCTCATACTTGGTCTACAATTATGTTGCCATACAATTTATGTATGTTAGTAGCTTGAGAGGCTAATAAACAATTAGTAAGAATGCTTTACAATATTGATCAACTACCTTCATCATACACTGTTGCTTTAATTTTTCTAATTCACTGTGTTTTATTTGAAAGGCATAAAGAAAAGTGAAATATGTATCTCTACATCCACTGCTTCACTCCCCCAAATACACACAGCAGCCAAGACCAGGCCAGCCCATCGAGAGGAGCCAAAAATTAAATTCTGGTTTCCTATATGGGTGGCAGAAACCCACATATGTGCACATCCCTCCCTTCCCAGGGTGCATGTTGGAAAGAGGAGCAGAGCCAGGACTCAAGCGCAGGCTCTCGGAAGTGGGACGTGTGTCCCAAACAGCATCCTCACTGCTGCGCCAAATGTCTGCACTACAGTGGCTCATGTCATTCTTGTTATACCAACACTGCACACTGCATAGTGCACAGATGATCTTTCTGTAAAGTAAAGAAAACAGAGATCATCCTTAATTATTTCCAAGCCAGAATGGTTTAATAAAACAGTTTTGTCTTCTTTAATACTGAAAATAATAGCATGTTTGTCCTATTAAATATTATAAAAAGACTTAATGTTACTTAATTCATACTAGGAATCCCTCAGAAAGAAAATACTGTGGAAGTGGTTTTCATGGCTCTGACAATGTGTTTTCAAATATGCAAGTGAGTAAGTCTTTTATTCTTTTTAAAAAGGTTAAATATGAAGAAAATTTGAAAATATTAGGCTTAAAAGCCTAGACTGTGATTTTGTGTGTGGAAAGGGAATTAGTAGAATTCTTTTCTTTGGACATCCAAGGACTTTGTTAAAATTTTACATGTGTAGTTTATGAACTTAAGACTTGCACTTCCTCATCTTTCTTGCACATAAAATTTGTGCTCTGCTAAGTATATTGCTCCATATAGGAAAGGAGCAAGGTGAGCCAGTGACTTACTAGGTTTACTAGATGAGAAGATAAAATATACTATATTTAAGTTCTGGAACAAGATAGTCACTTACACTTACTTATATAGCATTTAAAGTTGTCAAAATACACTCACTGTAATGAGCTAATTTCATCCCTGCAGGTGAGGTGGGTGGGATAAGGGTGACAACCCAATTCATAGACACAAAGGATCACAGCATCCATTCTGCCCCAGTTGTTATCAAGGTCTATGGTTACACTGTGAGAAATTATCCTGATGTCCTTAGAGTGTGTGTGTGCTGGGGATGAATGCAATATCCCACAAAGTGCATTATGGCTGGTAGTTTTCCCTTTATCTTTACAAGACCAGTTTTTGTGTGTACGATGCAGTTAAGATACTTTTTTGATGAACTATATACAGCTGAGATGCACTGATATACTGTTACTGACTAATCTAGGCCCTCTTTGTTGGATATGGACCTGCATTCCAGCATGGCATTGAGGTTGACTCGTTTGAAAATATTGAAGTCTATAACTTAATGTGTGGTAAGTATGAACAGATGGCTTTCTTCCCTTCCTTGTGAAAGCAGAGCTAAAATACTACAAGCACGAAGCTCAGGGTGACAGTTTTGTGGGAGTAACAATGATGTAAGAGAGATCCTCACATTTTCACTGTTGCCTTGATCTCAACTCACTGAAAGAACATATAGGCCATCCTATGCCATCTTACTATTTTTCTTTTTTTTTCACTAACGTGCACATGGGTAATGTTCAGCATTAATGATTGGGAGGTCTTTACACCTCCAGTGTGACTTCATTACAGAGCAGAGAAGCCAGAGGACAAAATAGGAGACCGGAAAGGTAGATTCTCTATCAGCAGCGGTAGGTGAATGGAGGGCAATGACAAGGTAGCAGAAATGAAAGATCTACTAGGTATATTCTAGATGTTTGTTCTACTTTCTCAGGTGGGATTTTGAATACCATTTTCTTTTCCTGATGGTACCGAGCATTCACAAAATCTTAAGTATGTCTAGGGTATAATTGGAACCCATAAACTTCATTTAAAAAGTTTTTAGAGGTCAAACAGAGATAGATTCTCTAATTTGCTTCACTATCTTTTTAAATTTTTATTTCATTTTAAATGTTGCTTAGACTGTTGAGAAGGATGTATGCCCATGTAGGCCACTGATTAGGGTGAAGAGTGTCGAGGTATGGGAAGTAGAAGGAGGAACAAAAGTTCCCAATTTTTAAAAATTTTTCCCCTTTTTCTGCAGGGCAGGGTAGAGGAGGGAGGAGACTGCTCCTTGCTGCCTAATTACATCAGCAGCTGGAGATGAGAAATGGTCCTTTAATGTCAGAACCTACAAACTTTAAATGAGCTGTTACTCTAAATCACTTAAAACAGCATCTGGCATGTAGTAATTAAATTGCTATATTGGTATTTACTGTTATTATTCACATCATGAGTCTTAACTCAATGCTGGCTTTGGATTCTAAGGCTACTAAATTCGTAGCTTTGATGAGACCTTAGGGTTATTTCTCTACTAAATATTTAATGTAGCTTCTTTGATTCAAGGATTACATTAAAAAAAAAAAAGTCCAGGGGTTGACATACAAAATGCTTGCAACAGCTACTTAACTATAGGAAAGTACCTCGTGCATATTAATATTTCTGATAAAAACAACACAGCTATAAATACTATAATACCCAAGAGAATTTTATAATTTTTAGTTCAAGAGTAAAGGACATTTAGATACATTTATTTTTAAAAACTCAGTGGAAATTTGCTATTTATTCAATTTTTAAACTAAGTAATATTTACTGTTGTTGAAATTATACAGATTTACTGAATTTGACCCCAGCCCCTAATAATGGGACTCATGGAAGTCTTAACCACCTCCTCAAGAATCCTGTTTATACCCCAAAACATCCCAAAGAAGTTCAGCCCTTGGTCCAGTGTCCTTTCACAGGATCGTCCACAGATAGCCTTGGCTGCTCGTGCAACCACTCGGTAAGTATTGTTGCAGCGTTCAGCCCAGCATCCTCTCCAGAACACGTGACACAGAAATACAGTCATCCTTTAATGTCATGGGGATTGATTCCAGGAATCATGAACACCAAACTCTGTGATGCTCAGGTTTCTTAAATAAAGTGTCATTGTGTTTACATATGACAACCTAAACATATCCTCCCATGTACTTGAATCATCTGTAAGCTATTCCCAATACCCCGAACAATGTAAATGTCAGCTAAATCGCTGATGCATTGTATTGGTTAGAAAGTAATGACAAGAAATGAAGTCTGTACATATTCAGGATAGATGTATTTTTTTCCTTTCATGACTTTCCTCCCCATGCTTAGATGAATCTGCTGGTAGAAAAGGCAGGGATGTCCAGGACCAGCTGAAAGTAATGTCACATAAGGTTTATAAGTGAGGACAAACATGTTCACTTTTAATTCTAGGGACCCATGTTGACCTTTTATTAATAAGACTCCTTCATTCTCAGTTCTTTGCATTTAAAAGCTCAGCTTTTTTTGCATTTAAAAATTTTTCTTTTGTTTCATTATATAGTTACATAGGCACTGGGGTTGCCTGTGCCCTTCTTCAAGGTCCCTCCCCTTCCCCGCATTGATTTCCCCTCTAGTTTTACCCTGGATATCCTTCATGAACAGTCACAAGTCCATCCTGCTGTTATTGAAGTATTTCCCACCAGTGTAGGCGTGGACATTGTCAGAGAGTCCATCATCTTACTATTAGGATGTATTCAGTTCTTTCACTGGGATTCCATCTTTGGTCTGTATGCACAGTGACATACAACAAGTACTATGAACATATCAGACCCTGCTACACTTGCATTACATATCCCCTAAAACATAGAACCAGTGAGCGCAGTCCACAACAGGGTGAACATCAGCTCTATTTTTATCCCTTGGTGCTGCTGCTTGACATGAGCGCAGCTGGGGAGCAGTGCCACCCGTAGGGATTGGGAATCGTGGCATCTGTGCTGTGATCCTAGCAGGCAGGGCTGGGCACACAGGCAATCCAGTACAGTGTTCCTTCTCTAAAACACAACCCAAGCCATTTCAAATTTAGGGAGAAAAAATGTGGTATCAAATAAATATGTGACACAGATCTTTTCTTATTCCTGTCTTAATAGTGTCAGTGACTTAATGATCGCTGTTGAGTAACTATTATCTTATAGTGTGATAAGAACATAAAAATATCTGACAAGTTATGAGCAAAATCGATAGCATTCATAAAGTTAACAATTTGGGGAATAGTTTATTTTATGCTTTATGCTTTCCATTTTGTTTTAGAGTTGATTTAGGCTGGCAGGAATACTTTTGGACTAGATCTAAGATTATAAAGCAATGCTTATATTCTGTTTTCACTGTGTTAGGCTTATGCTAACGATTTGTTGTTTTATAGCTGTCATTTGACTTTTATCTTCCTGGCCAAAACCAAATAAATTTCACGTATGCAAGACTATTGTAAATGCTTTCTTTGTTCCATATTGGATTACTTGAGATGTTAGAAGTTTTATGATATGAAATTAAAGCATTTCTTTTTGGTCCTTAAAAACAGTTTTTTTAAATTTTTCTAGATTATGCCAATTGTGGATTTTCAAGCCCAGCTTAATCTGACCACAGCAGAAGGTAAGTAGTTTTATTCACCAGCTTGTGATGTAGGAACTTTTTTTTCCCTCACAGTGTAAGCCACAGACTTGGTTTGGTGACATTGTGAGAGAATATCAATGAAAGGGAATGATGGTGGGATGAAGCCTGGAGATTTCTTTGCTTGACAGTCTAGACTGTTACTCATAGAAAGGGGCGCGTATTTTACAGTGGAAATCGTTTCTCATATATTTAGTGGAAGTTGAGTCATTCTTCAGGAACATTGTTGGGAATGTTTTGAGGTTTGCAAGGTTTTTCTAGGTGTGTTGAAGAGTCTTTGATTTCTATTTAAAATGCTGCAGTCCAGGTCTCCCTGTCTCACCAGATCCTGAGTTACTTGCAAAATAGTAGTGTAAATTAGTTTATTTATCTCAAGATATGCATTTGTAACTTTTGAATATGATTAAGAATATATAGAGAGGTGAAATTTTTTTCTTCTGGTTTAAATGTTCAGAGTTGCTTTTTATATAATCTCTGATCCTTTATTTATTGGGCTCACTTTTTCTCCCTACTACAAATGAAGAGATAAATGATACATTAATTCTGTGTTTAGCTTGTCCGTAAAATCTCATGTCAGGGTTGGGATGAGAAGCGTCTTGTTAGCCCTGAAATGACAAAGTACTCTGGGAAAGAACTTTCAGTCCTAAGAAAGGCTGGATTTAACGATTTGTTAAGGAATTGTATGTTCATGGGAAAAAAAAAAAAGTATCCCCTATGAGGAGCTGTTTCCTCACCTGTGAAACGATTTAAAGCCTTAACTCATAGGGAGATGTTAAAATTAACTAGATGATATATACAAGGACCTTTAAAATGTACTTGTTATTTGGAAAAATGATTGTAAACCGTAATTATTTGTTTTTCATCATGTGTTAGCTTCATAATTTCAATTTTGTGCTTTTCTTTTTCAAATACACATGCCATCCACAAAATCTGCTCTCTGGAATATGTCTTGAAGAATAACTAGTGTTAAAGAATTTTTAACGACATAATTTCTTAAGTAGCTGAAATTTTTGCAATCTCAGGATTGTCCTCATGTGACATTCTATTATCAGGTTATTCTTTCAGGATCTTTACAGGTCAAATTTGTAGTGAACACTGTTATGTTAATTGTGTATGGTTTAGATCTCTGTAGTTAGTTTTGGTTTTCTGAATAGTTAAAAATATTCAATGCCATTCTACAAAAGGGTTAGATGATATGCCATCTTCTGTTGTCGACCGATCTTTAAATGCTGATTTTGCTTTCCCCCGTGACACCAGAGAAGAGTATCATTCGTGCAAGTTTACCCTATGGCAGACCCAGGGTTCTTCAGAAAAAAACCAGTGTCTGTCTGCTTTACCAGCACCAGTTTGTGAGTGGATACAGCCACGATATCCTCATGCCTCTTTGGACCTCGTACACCGTCAGCAGAAATGCAAGTATTTGTCACCTCTTTTGTCATGTGTGGCTTTTACAAAGTATCATACGGCAAATCACTGAAAACACGCTTTCTCACTGGGCATCTTGGTTCTGTGTTGATTCACCAATTAGAGGAAGACAGAAGAGTCTGAAACATGCAGTTCTGCTTCTAGCTCTACCTTCCAAGCCCTGTAACCATGAAACTCAGGCAGAGCAAAGGGGGAAAGGAGATAAGGGAAAGTGTAAAGTGGTGTGGACGTTTCTTTTTTTCAGAATTTCATGACATCGGTTTTGCAGTCAACCACCAGGATTGCTGTCTCAGTATGTGGTTGTGTGAGCACAAAGGTTACTCTCAGCAGCCCACATCTCGGGAGTGCCTGACCTATGGGAAAACCATTCAGACTCGGCACCACCATGATGAAGTTGCCATGGCCAGGCAGATCACCCAGGCTGAACTAAGGAGAGGCCAGATCCTGTCCACCACTGAGACTGCGGGTGGAGGTGGAGGACGGGGAATGGGGTGATAGAGGGTCTCCCTTCTGAGGAGTGAGGCAGATATCCCAGGAGTTATCTCATCTAGCTTCCTTGTCCTGGCCCACAAGGGCTGTGATGGGAAGACACATGGTGAATGAGAGAGAGAGGAACAGGAGACTTAGATCTCTTATGGAATTAAAGTTTTTCATTGATCTGACCAGATTTTCAGAAAACAAACTTACTGGCAAGTTATAGGATGCTCCACAGAGGTAGAAAAGAGAATTTAAGTCAGCTCAGTTGAGGAGAGCAGTTACATTTGAAAAATAAAGTGATCATCAATATCCACAGAGACCAAATAAAAAATGACAGGACTATGTGTTAAATGTGTGGATGCTATGCATACATATACATATATTTGTATAATGTTTCTTAAACTTGAATTTTACAGTTTTTAATGGCTGCCTTTAAATACTATAAAAGGCTTTTGCTTGACTTTATGGTACAGAGCAGTCTACCACATGTTTTGTAGAACCATGATACTAGTTGCTGCTTAATTAATACCTTAATTATGGTGTTCTTTGGTTTTTGTCTGCATTTTCATTTCGTACTGCATGAATCTGCATCATTACTGCTCCTGAGGTTTTTACATTGCTGGTCTGTGGCTGTTTTCCCTTCCCACAGCAAGTTCTGGCTGAGTAGTTGGGTGTGGTAGACATTTAGGTAAACTCCAAATGTCAGCATTTTACTTCCTAGAAGCTTAAAATTGTCTGAAAACATCACACACAAAATTAGTATTCCCAAACAGGAAAATACGTGCATGTGGATGATACACAGGATCCTGAAAGTTGTAAAGAATTTCTTTCGCATTTCAGGTCAACATTGAATACAGGAGTAGAAAATGGGGAAAGGGTGAAGATTATGAGCAGGCAACTGGAGCATCATGATGTCATGATGTCATTCACCTGTCATAGTGTGCAAGGGCACGACTTATGCCGGTTCCTGATGGTTTTTTCCATTTTGTTCTTCAGGACAGTTTCTCTACGAAAGACTTTTCCAATTGTCTCTACCAGGATCTTCGGATTTCTCTCAGTCCTGTCCATAACTGTTCATTGTATAAAAATAATGCTAAGCTGAGTTATGGGTTCCTGTCCCCACCACGTACGTATCTTCCTCCTGTTGCTGCTTTTCTTTTTGCTCTTCTTTATTATTTTCTTGTTTATGAATCTGTCATACATTATGAGGGAAAGGACATCTTGATGGGTAAAATTGAGAATTAGAAAGCTATCTGTTGAACAGTTTAAAGCATCTATTCTTGAATTTAACAAGACTTTATTATCCATAAGATTTAGCTGAAAGCAGGAGTGGGAGAGAAGAGAGAGAAAAAATGTTATATTTACTGATTTACTTCTCAAATTCCTGCATAGCCAGAGCTGGGCTATGTTGAATTTTGAAGCCTGGAACTTCTTTGTCTCCCATGTGAATGGAAGAGGTGTAAGTACTTGAGCCATCCTCCAGTATCTTCCCAAGTACATTAGCAAGAGGCTGGATTGGAAGCACAACAGCCAGGACTCAAACCAGCACTCCAGTTTGGAATGTGGACATCCCAGGCAGTAATTTTAACCCCACTGTGCAACACTGCCAGCCCCTATAAAGCTTCATTTTATCTTTAATTGGAAGATAGTGACAGTGCAGATATTGAATGTGACATAGTATTTTCTCTTATCTCCTTCTTTTAAACAGAATTTGAGAAAGTCAATGAACTAGAAGGAGTTTCAGTGTCCCTAGGAATAATTTGTAATTTTGTTGTTTAAAGGAAAATGTGGTTTGTTCCAAAAATTAGGTGAAGGTGGAGTTTCATATTCACTTGCTTTTTCACTGGCCCAAGCCCTCTGGGAATTGGTGTTTTTGAAGATAAGTATTCTGTTTTTGAAATGACAAATCAAAATGCTAATGAGAAGACTTTTGGGGCCAGCCAAAGAGTAATTGGGAGACTCTAGGTGCTGAAATATCCTGCGCATCCAGTCCATACCCCAGCGTCAGTGTCTGAAGTCAGAACTTGGCGATTGCATTATGAAAATAGACCAGGTCCAAGCCTGAAAACTGTACAAAGAAGCCTTGTACAGAGTCTTGAAGCAGACATCCTATGATCTGGGGTGAGGTGAGGTGGGGTGGCAAAGAGTGTTGCTTTGAAGCCAGATGTTTTAATTTTTCTTCTCTGTAAAAAAGTGTAAGCACAGAAAACTGTCAACACAGTACACTTTAGTTTGAAGTGAGGCAAATAATGTTTGTTTAATTTGGGTCCTTATAAAACTTTTTGCTTACTTGATAAATATTTCTTGAAAAAGGAAATGTTTTATGCTTTATTTTTTACAAGACTTGACCAAATCTGTTACATTTTCGCTTGACTCAGTGCTGGGGAAATTTTACAGTTTAAGATTATATTAAGCTAATTAAAAAAAATATTCCTGAGTCTGAAAAAACTATAATCTTGAATTCCATTTAAGAGGAATGAAAAAAGTCTTTCTTTTTCCTTTGTAGAACTAAATAAAGATTCAAGTCAAATATATTCTGAAGCTTTGCTTACCTCTAATATAGTTCCAATGTACCAGAGCTTTCAAGGTAAAAACATTTTAACTCTATGTTGTATAATTTCAGTACACTTGGATGTATTTTATATGGGAAGGGCATATAGCTTCAATTAAATTACCATGATTAGATACATTCATAAAGATTTTTTTAACTTTGGGAATAACTGTATGCAATATACTCTGCAGATATTAGACTTACATATTCCAGTATCTATTATACCATGTACTTAAATATTTATCACCTTTTCTTTGGTGTAAAAATACATATATTCTTCCAAAAGTTACCCAGTTAATACAATCTGTTAGCTTTAGTAGGTATTCACCTGAACTTTCAGTATCTTTTCTATTTAACTGTATGTAAGTTCCTTGTAATTTTTATGTTCTTTAAAATGAATAGATTTTGTATCATCATTATTATACGATATTTATTTAGAAACAACTATACATTTATAATTAAGCTGATATGAATGATATCAAAATATAGAACCTATGAAGTTATTTTTACTGTAATTTATACCCTAGAATACCTGTTTTTCAGAGGGAAAGTTCCAGTGTTAGCAGTGAATATGAATACTTTGTGTTTATATAGTTATACTTAATGATGTTATATCATTACAAGTTCACATGACACATATGTTCAGGGATGCCCTAAGGAGAGCTGATCTCATTGTTGGCCTGTGAGTCCTGCCAAAGGCCAAACTGAGCAGTGGGTTTTGGCTTCCCATTAAGACTGAAGCCGAACTTGAATTTGCCTTTAGATACTATAAATGCTGGTCTGGAGTCATGGTGTTCCATTGCTTCACATGGCAGCATGGCACCTTGCTGATATGAACCCCTCTGTCTTCCTCGTTGTTTCAGTGATATGGCGCTACCTTCATGACACTCTCTTGAGGAGGTATGCTGAGGAGAGGAATGGCGTCAATGTGGTCAGCGGGCCCGTGTTTGACTCTGATTATGATGGACGTTATGATTCCGCTGAGGCTTTAAGGAAGTAAGCATTTCACTTCCCTTAAAAGCAGTTATCAAATGGGATTATCATCAGATTGAGTCAGCAGAACTTTTTCCATCTGAACTCTTTAAACTTCACACACACACACACACACACACACTCTCTCTCTCTCTCTCTCTCTCTCTCTCTCTCTCTCAAGAGACAGGAAGGGAGAGCAAGAGAGGAAAGCAACAGGACAGAGAGAGCACAGCCCCATCTGATGGCTCTTACCTCCAGTGCTTGCAGTAGCCATGGCTAGCCACAGCCTTAGTTAGCTTCTGGAAACTTAATCCAGGTTTCCCACATGAGTGACAGTCTGTACTGGCTGGTGCTGGACCTTGGACCCAGAGGTTCAATGTGATATGCCAGTGTTTCACTTTCTCTTAATCATTATATTGATCAGAAGATGAACAACTATATGATGTGACTAGAAATGCTGAGTCAAGCCAAGAAAAGGGTTATGAAATTAGGGCCTCGAATGTTCTGGCCATGGATTAATGTGACTGTTTTTATTCAACTCTGGATGGAAGGGAATGAGAAAGCAAACACTTAAGAGCATCAGTGATGCTGGTTTTGTAAAAGGAAGTGGGGAAACAATTTAGAGACTGCTTAATAGTTACTAAAACAGTCATTCAAGATTTGTGTAAATGATTTTGCTCTTAAGGCTATGAGAAGATTGAGGACTTCTCCATCCTTCCCTATTCTCCCCTACCCTTCCCTACTCTTCCGTACCCTTTCAGGCTCACTTGGAGTGACACAGTGAGTTAGAGACACACAGAATTCTTTGATCCACTGATTCTTCCCAAATGGCCACAATGGCTGGGCTAGTCAAAGCTAAAGTCGGTAGCTTGGAACTTCCCCCAGATCTGTCACTTGGATGGCACTTGAGCAGGTGTCTGCTGCCTTCAAAAATGCATCAACAGGGAGCTGGATTAGAAGCAGAGCAGCTAGGACGTGGACAAACACTCCAGTATGGGATAAGGCTTGACAAACATTGGTTTAACCAGCTGTGTCACAATGCTGGCCCTCTATTTGATTACATTTAGTTTTTAGATGTATTATGTTAAAAAAATATATATGTTACACTGAAATGTTCATTAGAATCAAGCAACCCATTTTTCTTAAGGTGAATATTGGCATATTTTTACAGAAACAGCAGAATAATACGTAATCAAGAAATCCTGATTCCAACTCACTTCTTCATTGTGATAACAAGTTGTAAGGACACGTCCCAGACTCCACTGCAGTGTGACAGCTTGGATCCCCTAGCGTTCATCGTGCCCCACAGGCCTGATAACAGTGAGAGCTGTGTGGTAAGTAGCCTTTTTAATTCACTAGTATTCAATGTGAAAACATGTTTGTGGGTCTTTGTTAATTAACTACTATTTTGAAAGCGCAAACATTTGAGTGTGTTTCTTACATCTTATATATTTGAGAGAAAACACAACTCCTGAATATATGCAGTAGATGGAATTATATAATTTTAAATGTTATGTTCTAGGTGACATGTCTTTGAATGTGTATGTTAAAGACATTAGATCATATTGGAATCAAGCATGATATGACATAGCCACTAAATTTCAAGTTTATTGAAAGTACAAATTTTCTCTTATGTCAAAATTGGATTTATAATTCCACAGTGTCAGCACTGAACCAGATTAGTTTAAAAGTTTTTGATTAGACAATATTTCAGGTTCATTTTCTGTCATCTTATTAGAAAAATCTTGTTTCTTATTGTAAACTCTAAGATTCTAAATTAAAGATCTGAAATGAAGACTGTTAGCAATGTGTAAGTCTTTCCTTAAGGGGAACCAAAATGTTTTTCTTTCAAAGTACTTCCTATGTGGTCTAGTTTAGTTCTCCACTTGGCCCTAGCTGAAATTACACTAAGTAAATCTAGATTTGAGTTGACAAAAAACATTTGGTTCTCAGACCAGTCTCAGTGGTTGGATGGTGGAGCTGGAGTTGCGCGGGCCACAGGACTCTGAGGCCCACTCTGAGCTTGGCAGGAGAGTGGAACATGGGCTCACTCATTCAGCATTTGTTCAATTCAGTTGTTCATTCTCTTACCAAATACCTTGGGCAGTGGGGCCAAGGCAGTGAGCAGCCCATGAACGCCGCCCTGAACACAGGTGTGCAGTGTGGAATACACTGGGCTGTTTCGCCCTTCCTAATCTGGTAGCCGAGGTGTTATCATTAGATTAAAGATATGTCTCACCCTCTTTTATTTCTATAACTTTCAGAATGGCTTGACTCTTCCTAATAGAGTACATTTCTCATGAGTTTTTTTTTTTTTTTTCCTTTTTTTGCAGAATTAAGTGCAGAGTAGTAGAACATTGAAGCCCTGTTAAGGTTTTGGCCTGTTCAGGTGCCTAATGATGATCTAACCCTCTCGAAAGGAGTGTGGACACTCCTCGGCAATACAAATGCTCCTTACTTCATTGTCTTCCTTTCTTTAGAGATTAAATTGCACTAAGTTTGTCAGTTAAAAATGTGTTTTCTGACAAAAAAGAACCCCCATTATGGTGACTTACACAAGTTAGCTGTTCCTTGTGTGACAGTGTGGAAGGACATGGCTACTTTGACTTGGGTGGGCAGCCAGACCTTTCCTATCTTGCTTCTCCACCGCTCTTAGCAGGTGGCTTTGGCACACAGGGTTAGTGCCACTTTTGCTTCTCCAGATATCATGTCTGAATCTTGTGCCCCATTCAGAAAAAGAAGGCAACAATGGACTCATTCTTAAATGTCATTGACTAAATGATACTGAGTGCTGTGTGTTAGGTGGTGACTCTCTTTCCAACTTGAGTTTTCCAATGCTGTTATACCACTCTCTTAAGTGAAATACTTTTCCCCAAATTCTATAATGGTAGTGTATCGAGATGATATTATGTGTTGGACTTGAACCAGAGAGGATCATTTTAAGTTACATTGTACATATAGATTCTTGCTGTTCTCTCTCTGAGGTAGTTCCTGAGGGTTATTTGGTTATCAGCCAGAGAGAACAGATGCCTTGATGCTTGGGACAGATGACAAGGATCCACTGGTCGGATTGTCCTCCGAGTCAAGGCTGGTTCCTTAGCACCACAGCATGAATTTCTGTAGAGAGGGAGACTGGGTATGGGGTTTTGGGTGATTACAGGCTAGTTGGACATCCAGGTGATTTGTTTATTTGTGAAATCCATAGTTATCATGTTCAGTCAAGAGTGCCCAAAGGGAGCATGAGCATTGTTTTTGGAAGGATATCTTTAAATTACATTCATAATCTACCACTTAGTGGACGCTTTGTTTATTTAATACCTTCCAGGATTCATTTTCAGAAAGACTTACATTAACATATGGAATTTTGATTTCTAGTTCTGTTACATGCGTCAGGTGTTATTTCTACTTCTATTTGCCAGTGTATATGCCTTCAGTTCTTTTCTGGTCTCCTGTCATCTTATATTTGACCCCTTACCAAAACTGAAGTCATATTTTACCATTTCTCCCCATCCCATTTTTTGTGCAGCCATGTAGATAACATAGTCTTGCAGAACGAGTGTTGTATAACACATTTACATGAATCCTGGCATTTTATTTGATCCTCAGAACAATCTTATATGGATAAAGCAATAGGATTCAATGTTAAATAACCTGCCATAGTTTCATTGGTAGCATAGTAAAGAGGTGTATTTTGAGTCCATTTCTTCATGTTAATTCTCATATTCTTTCTCCTGTGGCTGTGTTTTTCTGTTTTTCAATATTTTTAACCCCACTCTATTGAAGTGTCTTGTACCTGTACAATCTATATGTTTACATCTGTATACAGGGGTGAGTGTGTGTGTGTGTGTATATATATATACATATGCATGCGTTCTTTTCTCCAAATTTGATACATGTAAGTAAACACACACACTCACATGCATGTGTGCATGCACACACACACACACACACACACCACACACACACACACACGATGGCAGGGATTGTGCATGACAAGTCTTGTGCAGCAAAATGTGGTAGCTGCTTACACCAAGGAGATGGAGAGCTTAACAAGATGATGGATTCAGTGTTCTCTGGTGACCCTTCTTCTTTATTTCCCATCCTCTTAGCATGGGAAGCGTGACTCCTCCTGGGTTGAAGAGTTGCTGATGATGCACAGAGCTCGGATCGTGGATGTTGAACATATCACTGGACTCAGCTTCTATCAAGAAAGAAAAGAGCCAGTTTCAGACATTTTAAAACTGAAAACACATTTGCCAACCATCAGCCAAGAAGACTGAAACTTTTTTTGTTACTCCAAAAACATACTGTAAATCGTTTTAAAAGAACTTTCTATTTTATACAGTCCTCTGTCCACACTATTGCATTGCTTGGAAACTGTTACCATCCTTAAGACCGGGAGCTCTCTGTGATATGACACCTCAGGGAAACTTGTGACTCAATACCGCAATAGGAGAATGTTACTACTGGGTCTCACACATATTTGAATGCGTTGTTCAAGTTCTGGGGAATAAAGACAGAGCGTACCAAAACTGCTTTTCTACTTCTCAAAAGGGAGAAGCAGCCATGAACATCATCCGGACACTGGATATTTGGATATTGTTGGTAATAAGTCTTTGTGGTGTTGAGAAACATTAGGCTAATTAATAGAATTAAAATAGTTCATGGAGTTAGTGTCTTATAAGAAAATGATGTTTTATTTACCTATTTTACTTTTAATAATGATGGAAAAGACAAGAAGAAAGAAAGGTAAAGGAGACTTAAATATACTAGACTCTTGTTTTACCTTCTTTATATATTCCCTCAAAACCAAATTATTACTCCTATGTAACTTTTTAAAACTGTGATTGGATTTTTCTAGTTTTAATATCTCTGAAGAGTTAAATTTGAGGAGACTGTGAGTTGAATGTATTTAGTATAAAAGTTTACATTTGCACAAAAGGAAAAGCCTTTCTATCCCTCATATTAGTAATTAGTAATGAACATAGTTTTAAAATATCTCTAATCCTAGAGTTATTTTTAGACAGATAAAATTATTTCAAAGAATTTGCCAGCCATGGTTAGGTGGCAGTTTTCATTGAGATGGTACAGATGTTTTCCCTCTGTGCATGTAAATGATCCCAGCCACGGCACAGCTGTCCTGAGCTGAGATACTCATTTTGAAGTCCCTTGAAGAGCTCATACTGCTTTTCATTTACCTTTTCTATGAATATGACAATAACATAATAAACCCACTTTGTTGTGTTCATTGTACCCGCTCATTCCGGCCTGTGAGTCTTCAAAAGCTACGTTGATTTTCAGATTATCTGGGTCCAATTTATCTATGACATTAGTGCACAAATGATTTTTTAATGTCTCATTTGATGATCCTTGTTCAGCAGCCTAAGGCCCAATCACAGACATTTTTAGATAACACAGTTTACAGCACAGATTTCACTGGTATTCTCTGTTAGTTCCATGGTATCCGGAGCCTATGAGACTTTTTCAGTTTATTTTGTCTTTGTTGTTCAGGTTGGGTTTGTATTGTTCTGTCTTCACGTTGACTGATTAATTCCCCTGATTTGTTCTGCTGTTGAGCCCATTCATTGATTTTTATATTTCAGTTACTAAGTTTTTTATTTCTATAATTTCTCTTCAGCTCCTCTTCATATGTTTTTACTTGCTAAGAATTTCTTTTTCTGGTTCCTCCATTTTTGCTAAGACTTTCTATTTTCATCTGTTTATAGTGTGCTTACAATAGCTTGTTGAAGCATTTTTATTAATAGCTCTCATAAAATCCTTATAGGTAATTTCAACAATGGTGTTCATCTCAGTGTTTGTATACACAGGATGGCTTTTTATTCAAAACATTTTTCTACTTTGGAAAATTTTTATTTGAATCCTGGATGTTTTAATTATTATGAGATTATGGATCTTACTTCAATCTGCTCTTGCTGACTTTCTCTGACACCGCTGTGATAGAGTTTGGGCTTACCACCCCATTATTACCAGGTGTCATCAGGGGTCGAAGTTCCCCACTCCCTCTCCATTGGCGCTTGAGATGAGAGGCCACTTGTCACTGCTGAGCAAGGTGGCGATATATCTCCCCAGTTAGGCTTCTGCTGATGCTACGAACTGGGGTATGTACGTAGCTCCTGGTTACTACTTCCACCTGATCTCCACTGATGCCCTAGGCTGGGTGGCAGGAAAGACTTCATTGTCACCAGGTCTGGATGAGATTCTTGGTTTTCCAGCGATCCACTTCTCTGACATCACTCTGGCAGGGACATCAGAACCCCAGTTTACAGGCTGGCACAGTTGTTAAGTCTAGGCTGTCTGTCTTTGCTGGTGTGTGGGGATCCAGCCACATGGTGTTCAATTACAGCCTTTGTTTTCTGTCTTCTAACCTGCTGCTTGTCTGGTCTGTTTATTGGAGAGCGGGTCAGTCTCAGGTTTTTATTTTTCTTGTCTTCACTTGCTGGCGTTTCTAGATAGTTGACTGCTTCAGCTCTAAATCTGAGATCTAGAAGCTGAAAAGACATCTTAGGGAACTCATCACAGTGTTGTTCCTTGGATCTCAAGGTCCCTGGTCTGTCTGCTGTCTGCTGTTCTGTCTTTCTGTGTTTGTTTTATGTATAACCTCCAAGCCTTTTATCTTCACATTGCACAGATACCTACTCCGCCTTTGTAGAAATATCTCACTGAATATTATAACAGCACAAAACACTATTGACTCTCTGAAGCATTTTAGCAGAGCTTAATTAAATGGCAAAATATTCATTCCCTTTGGTAAGCAGTGGAGATACAGAGAAGATCAAGTTTACAATCCTTAGAGTAGCAGCGAGGGAAAAGAGGCGGCAGCACAAGCATGAACTACCCCTACGGAGGGACAGTTGTCATAATGAACTTGTCATTTATCTTCTCTATGGGCGTGACGGATGGCATATTCTCAGCCTTTGAGCTAGGAGTTGTAGGGGGAGTTTGGAGGTGTTCTGCTGAACAAGGCAGAAAAAAAGGCATTCTAATATTCCCTCAAGTGGATTTTTTTTTCTTTTGCATTTTTCTCATGTATCACTACTTCCTGCTTTTTTTTTCCCTCAAGTGTCACTGTGACCAACCTATAATGAACAACCACTTTACTTTCTTGCTTTATTGTAATAGTCTGTTGTTACAGGGATGTCGGATTGACATTTGCTACGCTGACTCTTTAAGGAAAGGACATCACAATCTGCTTATTTTGGATTTTTCCATTTCTCTTATTCTGATTTCCTTATCACCTTTTCTTAACAGAAATCTTTCCTTTTGCTACTGTTACATGTCAGTGTAAAACGTATGTCTGATTTCCTCTGCCCCCAAATCTAATGTATGTTGGCATGACCGTCAGTCATTTCTTGATGTATGTGGGTAGCTGGTTCCACAATTCCCCATAAATACTAAAATCTCGGGATGTTCACGTCCTTTATGTAAAATGGTAGGCTTGGTGGCCCAGCTCCACTGCTGTGGGCGTTGCTGGATGGAGGATCTCTCTCTCTCTCTCTCTCTGTTTCTGTCTCTGTGTCTTTTAAGTAACTGCAAATAAATAAAGGGGACAGGACTATCAGGCCAGTGGCAGTGGCTTGATTCTGTGTGAAGAAGTGATGGGATGGAGTGGAGACCACAGCTTTTATTGGACCAGATTATTTGCCAGCCTCGATTTTCCGAGTTTCAGCCACAGTATCCTTCCTGCACACTGCCATGAAGGTGTCACGAGGGACTGGCACTTGAACTTTGAAACTGATTGTGCTGATGGCGCTGAGTGCTTATCATGGTGGTGACTATCTTCATCAGCATCTGGTGAAGTTTTACCCTGCTGTAGCCTAAGGACATTTTCCCCTGATGTTTGGCCAATCCAAATATTATAAGAGAGAAAAAGCAATTTTTCAATGGAATATAAATGTCTCTGAGCAAAACAATGTGTATTGACAAATAAAACATATATAGAGAATCTTGGCCGTTTTCCTTTTGGGTGCTTGTGGCGGATGTGGACAGGGCAGTGGGGGATGGCACCGAGTTCAGGGTTGTTGTCCGTTAGTCACAGGACAAAAAAAAAAAAGATCCAAAGTTCATTTCAGGTTCATGGAGTAAAACCTTTTTGATCTATGACCTAAAAAGATATTAGAGATTCTTTGATAACATTTTTTAAAATACTTATTTCTATTACAAAGTCAGATATACAGAGAGGAGGACAGACAGAGAGGAAGATCTTCCATCCGATGAATCGCTCCCCAAGTGAGCACAACGGCCAGTGCTGTGTCGATCTAAAGCGAGGAGCCAGGAACCTCTTCCAGGTCTCCCACGCGGGTGCAGGGTCCCAAGACTTTAGGCCGTCCTCGACTGCTTCCCCAGGCCACAGGCAGGGAGCTGGATGAGAAGTGGAGCTGCCAGGATTAGAACCGGAGCCCATATGGGATCCCGGCGCATTCAAGGCGAGGACTTAAGCTGCTAGGCCATGCCGCCAGGCCCAACATTCTTTAATAACATTTAATAATACTTCCAGGTTTAAATTATCTGAAAACCCAAGGGAAAGTCTCCGAACTCGTAATTTCACAGATTCTTTCAATGTAAGAAATTTGCTTTTACTTTTTTTGCTTAGACGATGATTGAAGAAGAAATAAAAATGCTAAAAAAAAAAAAAAACAGAAACATGCCAAAAAACCATAAATGTGTAAAACATTCCTTAGTCTATTGGAATTGGAAAGATCTCTGGAAAAAAATATATTGATGGTATGCCAAACAGGAGTACATGTAAGAGAATCCTCTTTCACCTGTGAGGCTGTTTTTTTATTTTTAAGATTTATTTATTTTTATTGGAAAGTCAGATATAGAGAGAGGAGGAGAGACAGAGAGCAAGATCTTCTGTCCAATAATTCACTCCCCAAGTGACTACAACAGCTGGAGCTGAGCTGATCTGAAGTCAGGAGCCTTTCCTCTGGGTCTCCCACGCAGTTGCACGGTCCCAAGGCTTTGTGCCATCCTCGACTGCTTTCCCAGGCCACAAGCAAGGAGCTGGACAGGAAGCGGGGTAGCTGGGATATGAATTGTTGCCCATATGGGATCCCAGCGTGTGCAAAGCCAGGACTTTAGCCACTAAACTATCGTACTGGGCCCGAGGCTGCTTTTCAAAATGCTTCTTTTTTATTCAGTAGGAAAGGCAGAAAGACAGACATTATTTCTCTTTGTAACATCCTTTAGCAATTAGGGCAAGTCTGAAGTCAGCAGCCTGGTACTCATTCCTGTCTCCCATATGGTGTCCGGGACTGAACTGCTTGCGCCATCATCAGCTGCCTTCAAGCCGCGCATGAGCAGGAAGCTTGAGTGGAGAGCAGAGGCAGGGGCTGAACGCAGGTGCTGACAGAGCACATGAGCACGCCGAGCGATAGATCAGCAGCTGTGCCTAACGTCATCCAAATGCCGCCATTCAGATGTGACTTTGCTCTTGCCCTTCAATCCTTCATTCAGGAGAAATTCAGGATTTTAATAAGAATATTTTTCTTGAAAAATTCTTGTCTAATTTTACTATATTTTAAAAATTCCTAACCCCGAATCTAACAGAGAGTAAAAACACCAATTTATTTGAAGAAGTAACTTTACAACTTTACAATTTTGCTCCTTGTTGTACAAATATTTTTCACTATATATATAAAAAAATTTTTTTTTCCCTTTGGAAGCGGGAGTTGTCGTGCAGTGGGTAAAGCCACAACTTGCAATGATCACATTCTTTTTCACAGCCTCTGATCTGAGGTCCACCTGCTTTGGTTTCTGATCCAGCTTCCTGTTGATGCACGTGGCAGGTGGCAGATGGTGGCCCAAGTGCTTAGCTTCTTTCCACCCATGTGCTGCACCCAGATGGAATCCTTGCTCCGGGAT